ACAAGAAACTGTTTTCTTCTACTGTAGTGTAGATCCTCAAAAATTGGCTTTTTATATATATTTTTTTCTATTCTCTCCATGAAATAATTCACCATATTGTCATTTTAAAATGGTACTGGTATTTCCATGAGGAAGAATACAAGAGTTCTGAAAAAGCATTTCCTTCATGAATAATGCCAGTTCTGCTTCTTTTTAAGTGGAACAAAGCCTTAATAGTAGATGGGAAAAGTGTAATCCCCCAGCATTATATTCTCAATAACTATAGGCCATTTACATTCCTTTTTATGGAATTATTTGTCTCAATCATTATTGACATGCTACATAATTGATTTGGATATTTAATTATTACCTCATTTTCTAGTTTAAGAAAAGGAAATTTCTCCAACACATCTTTCACAGAGTACTCGGCAATATATTTTAAACGATATTCCTTTGTACACTCTAGTTTATCGGCCATAATGTTCTGGTCTGGGTTACACTTTTTTGAAAGGTCCATTAAATCTGTTACATGCTTGATGCTGGCTTGGTTTTCTCTTGACGTATTTTCCTAAGATGCCAAATAGGGAAAATATCATTTCAAAAATTCAAAGATGCACTGTCACTTCGACAATTGGAAAAAACTTTTACCATGACACACACATACTAAAACTCAATATTCAAACATTTACAACCATTTGAGTATGAGAATTCTTACATTTGCTGTTAGCAATTTTATTGTTTATTGTATTTAATATTGTTATACAGTATTATATTAACTATTGCGGTTTACGATATGTTTCATCTTTAAGGTGATTACAATATGTGTACATAGTACAGTAATTTTTTAATTCAATTTTTTATGATTTTACAATTTTCTAAGGGACAGTGCCACATTAAAGGTTCAGTTCTGTGCCGTATTTGTGCCAGTATATGATTTTTACCTGAAAATAAGGTGATTGGGATGAAGTAGATAGGCCTTATACCATATTTTACATTATGAATGTTAATTTATACCTTAAATCTACTTTTCATTCCAATTGTTTGTGCTTTCCCAAAAAGCTATAAGCTGATTTGGCTGAATCAAAGAATTTGAACCACCAACATCTCTATTGTGAGACTACAATAAAGAGTCATAGAGTTATATGCGAGTACAAAAATGCCCTTTTGCATGTTATTTCATCTGTCTGACTAACTCTTACTTTGGTTCAGACGACAGCATACAATTATTAATTATACTAAATGGCAGTAGCTACGGTACTTAAGCATTATTACAATGTACTGTATGTTCTGATACACAAAGTCTAAATACCTTGATGACATCATGCTTGAAATCACCCTTAATCTACCCCAGAATTTGACTCAAATTTTTTTTTTTTTGCTGTAATGTGTCTTTTCAGTATGTAAAATTTTTAACATGGCTTACATGTCCTGTTGAATTTCCAGATTTATCTGCTAAGATCTTAAACTTGGTAACTAGCTCTGGCTACCTCAGTATACTCAGCTGTTGTTGGATATCTACAAAAAAAAAAGGTGCAAGGGGAAAAATTACTGTATCAAGATTAACAATCAGTGAATAAACATGAAAAGAATAGTGTTAAAATAGATGAATTAAAGTATTTTGAAGCTTTAGCAATAAACCCTCTTGACAGTGCATGCATTATAGTAGACTTCATTACTTTTTATAGTACTAAATGTGAAGATGCCCAGGTAATAAATTGAATCAATGAGAATGTCATAGGTAATCAGAAGCAGGTCTGGAAAGAGGAAACTGCATCAAATTAGTACAGTAGTAAAACTTTAAGTAGTACTCAAAAACATAATAATCAGGTTAAATACTTACAGAGTAAATTGTATCATGTCTTCAAATAAACTTTGTATAATCAAGGTAATTCAACAAAAGGATGCACATCTCCGCTCTCGAACATAGCGCGTGCGTACAGTCCTTTGATCTTTACTGTGGCATCGACAATCCGATGCTAGTTGCGAGTACAGCCGTCAATTATTAGTCTATGCGTGCCATTCGTTTTATAGTGTTAGTTTTTATTTTATTAATTTTGAGTACTTCGCAATGTCTGTTACATTTGATTTTTTTTCCCCGAGCTTGTTAAATGCTTCTATAAACTGCAATTTGATTTGTGAAAATTGACCAAGAAAATGAAAAGTTATAGCAATTCAAAATTTACGAATTTTATAAAATTTCATGTTCTTATGTAACCTTATGTAACATTAATCATTTTGACAATGTTGGCATAAGGTGCCGAGGACGAACATTTGAGTATATACGGAACATTTATTAATTTTTTCTGCGAAGTGAGTCTCATGAACGACAATTCACCACAATTTTGGTAAAATAATGTTGAAATGAAGAATATATTTCAGTCTAATGTTACTGCAAAATATCATTAGGCCTTTGTAATCACCTCACGACTGACATGGCAACTAACACGCGCGTGGGTAAATCGTCACGTACGCTGACGGTTTATGGTCTGGTTGCTATGGTTTTTGTGACGTTCAGCGTGTAGGGACGCAGTGCGCCTAGAATGTCGATGCCAGAGTTATAACCTTTGATGTCCCGAGATGTGCTTCCTTTTGTTGAATTACCTTGGTATAATCTTACGATAATACCGCCTTGACAACACCGACTTGTCCTGCTGTTTCAAAAGATCTTCCATATCATGTGGTAATACAGGTACTTGGTAAGGTAAAGGCCACTTGGATAAAGAAGGCACATCACAGGCCTTGGTATACAGGTGAACTAAGTAGTAAAGTAAGTGAACCATGGATAGGAATTGAATATACATTCAAACTTTCCAAGGTCAAATAATTTCTATGTTGAACTTATTTTACATGCCAAATTTTCCATTAATTAACAATCAAATTTAGTCCATGTCGAATTACTGTACTTTCCTTTAGTTTGATAAAAAGATTAAAACAATACTAAGAAAAAGTTCAAAGTATTTTTTTAAATGTATATCAATGAATACACAAAAGCAAAGTAAAGGAAGAAAGGCAGGAAATTATTTTCCAGATAGTGCAATGCTTAATTATAATGTATGTTTTTATACCAAATTTAGGAGTGCAACTCATCAGAAGCTATGGCACTCAACAACATTTGAATTCAAATCGTAGCTTTTATGGTAAAACTTCCCGAAACGCTAAACAAAACGGTACTGTGTGTCCAAACACAGTACCATCGTTTAGAAAAATGTTACCATAAATACCATAACATAACGTTTTGGGAAGTCTTACCATAAAAGCACTTAGATGGCATCTAAAATTATCAGTCTTATTTAAGTTATATGTAGAAAAGCTAATATTTCTTAATTGTATTAATCCCCTTCCTTAAGTGCAATTTTATTTTTCAATTCGTTTTTCAGGACCTAAAAGGATATTGTTTCACATTACTTAGAAACCCTCGCCCCTCCCCCAACAACAAGTATTTCTGAACACTCCCTTTCCCAGTTGGTTAATTAATAATATCAAGGTTGAGGTTAAATGACATGGGCATAAATTGTCTTATTCAGGATTATGTTTCTGTTTTATATTTACTTTGTTGATAGGCCTAGGCTATGCCATATTGGATATAATTTCTAGGCATAGGCCTAGGCCTACAGTCAAGCGTATTATTAGCCTATGCCTAGGCTAGTAGTAGGCCTGGTACATATGAAAAGAAACTTTTTTTTGTCTACATTTCCAAGTTTTATGTCAAAATGTCAAAATATTCTTACAGAAGACAGTGACTGATCAGTGTCCAAGAAGTCTTCCTATTATAGGTCTACTAGGCTGGCCTTAACGGATTTATTTAATTTTGCTTAAAGTAAGCCTAGCCTAGGCTACGGCCTAGGTTTTAGGCTGCGGGCGGGTGCCTGGGGGTCTATCTAGGCCCTAGGCCTATCTGATAGGCCCCTAGGCTATATCTAGGTAGCATAGGCCTAGGCTAGGTTTGGTCGTCTACTTACTTACGCAGTTTTGTTATGGCCAAGTGACTGATGAAAAGAAGAACAACCACCAATATAATGTTTCGACTTTTGATGGAAAGACGTCAACAACCAGACAAACAGTAATGAAGTTATAGACAAGACATGTGCATGAACAGAGGGTGCGTCGTCAACTGTCACATTATTACACGCGCCTAACTGTCATTCGTCGTACGCGCGTGCACTTCTTTAAAGCCCGCCGCACACGACAAGATTTAACTGTTCTTCCTACCTGCTAAGGTGCTCATGTGAACTTGCTAAGGTGCTCATGTGAACCTGCTAAGGTGGATTTAAACCAATCATGCGAACCTGCGGCCCTGCCGAGGTGCCAATTTCAACCAGGCGAGGGGCTCATGTAAACCTGTTAGGTGCTGATTTGAACCCGTAATGTACTGCGATTACTCAAGGTGCCTAATATTATGTTATCGCCGACGTTGTAACGCGTAGCAGCCCCGACGCAGTCGGGAAGGCTCCCTGATTCGACCGACCAATCAGCACAAAGCTTGGTTTCCATAAAATCGCTAACCCTATTGGCGACAGTCGCCGACAGTTGTCGGGAAGGTTGAACCTGGTTCAACTTTGCTGATTGCATTGCAGACGAATCGGGGTGTCGGGGTTTGCACATGATCCTGTTTTGTCTGCAACGGTTGAACCAATTGTTCAACATGCACTTTTGGCGAAAGTGCTAGCGATGTTTGGACACCAACCAAAAGCTGTGGGTAATTAATTAGCGTATAGCGATTTTATCAATCAATTTTGTCAATCATGCCCATTTTTTTTACCACACGGCAACTAAATCACGCGTGTTTTATGTATATACATTTAACTGTTCCATGATAATAGGATAAGTGAAGGACTACCAGTGGTTTTTCATTTTAAATATAGGCCTACTTACTTCACGTAGGACTACACTGTGTCTATCGTTGTCGATGTAAAAAAGCCATGAAAAATCTGTCCGTCATTGCTTAATTTTATTCACTGACGCTCTCCGTTATTGTAGGCCCTACAGATACTCAACCAAATAGGCTTTACAGAACCTGCTTGTCTAAAGAAATTAATGCTGGCCTATATTGAAACATTTTTCAAGGTAATTATACACCACATTTCTGTGTCGAACACTGGTATGAAACCCAAACAGAACATGTTTTGTAACTAATGCTAGCTTTTGACAAAGCTGTGCACCATTTTCTATCTTTGCACCTTTAGTTGCACCTTTATTTTTAACAGTGGCCACCTGGACCCGGGTTGGTCGTCGGCCTCACAGTTCTTTGGCAAATACAGGCAACGGGAATGATTTCATCGTACTGTTCAAATTGAACAATACTGCCCTCACAGCCAACTTTCTTCATGGCTTTCATTGTGTACATGACTTCTTTACATGCCATCGTCGACGTCTGAGCGTTGGAGAAAGGGTCGATGCATGTGGTACAGGTGGGTCGGCACCTTGCTTTCATAATTTTGGCTGGGATTCGATCAGCTTGGTAGTCTTCATAAAAGTCAAACGGACAAAGACCAGACTCAGATAGACTATAGTCGGCTGTAAGGAAAATAAAGACATGTTAAAGAGGCTTATCGTTGGAAAATCCTAATCGAAAGAATGTTTAATCGGATATTACCTCTCTTTCCCGTCTATGATAAGAAAAATATATACTTCATTAGTCTTTTTCATTTTATGCTTAGGTGGCTTCAATTTTGTTTGAAATACACAAGTAAAACCACATTTTGATGAGTTAGAATGCCCGGAAGGCTTAAGCTTACTACAAGTTAAATAGTATGGTAAAAAAAAATATGAAGCTTATAATATAAACTTACTTGGCACCTTGTCGTATGGACATTCTTTGTCTGGGATCTCGCTCTCCGTATTGTAGTTAGTTTGTGAACGTAGACTCGTATCAAACGCATGCACAGGAACAGTATTTGTCGCAGGATAATACAGTTGTGGATAAGTTAACGACGACGTGTTGGAGCACCTGCTGAATGGCCCGTCTTGTTGGCCAGACGACGTCGATGAGCGCCTCATCCTCGACAGTGGGCTCCCATATGCTGCTGACAGAAATACAAATACGGCGCATAAAACACTCTTATTGACGGTAGAATACATTTTGCTTTTATTCATGATCAGATTTATGAATTAAAAAATTGCTATTTTAAATAATAGTTACAGCCGAGTATATATGCCTGAGATTCCTCGTTTATTTTAGTTGTGAGTCCAATCGCCCTATGAAAATGTCAGTGACAGACTGCTTTTATACCAGGCGACAGTGTTTCCACAGATTTATTTTTATTAGACATAGGCGTAACTAATATGTGGTCACACTACGAAGGACGCCTACTATTATGCCTACTGTACTGGACGTAAGACTACGGTACTTTCACTGTACTCGCTTACTTTGGCCAACTTTACAAGCACTAGCGCCCTCAATGTCGTACACTACGAGTAGCTCATCAGTTTATTTTAGTTCAAGGAACATGTTTAATAATTATGCATAATATTTGTATGGTAAAACGGGACTTTTTTTTCCAGCAATAGGGGAATTTATGACTAACGTGATGCTGTACAGTATTATAACACTTTTGTTGATGTGATATTGATAAGGTTAAATGTTATACCAATACAATTTAAATAAGAAACAACACGTGAAATTTCACTTGAAGTTGGAATTATGGGGAAAAAATGTTTAATAATTAAAAATAAATCAACGATTTCTAGTATATACAGGAAATATATTTATATATTGAATTAATAATTATTATACGAACACATTTAAATTAAAAAAAAGAACACAGAGAGTGCACGCAAAGTTGCATTTATGGTAAAATAAAATAAAATAAAATATGATTGGGAATGGTAATAGAGACCAGCGTATAAAGCTCCGTTGTGGATTGTGACAGTGCCAAAGATAGGCTGGTCCAGGATCTCCGATGGGGTTCAAAGGTCCCCGGCAAGATAGTTCAAGATCCCGGACAAAGCGTTCACACCCAGCTCAGTGTCATCATAGCTGAAACAAAAGTTCAGAAGGCCCCTTTAGAGGCCCTAGATGGTAATCACAGCTTGTGAAAATTCTCAAAGCAGTTTTCTAAGACAAAATGATTGTAAGTTCTGTTACGTCTCTGACGCCGTTACTGTCTTAAAGACAAGCACTGTCTGTCTTATGAAAAATGCAAGGCCGCATTTTATGCTTTTGAGTCTGTTTAATCGTTAAGATTTTCATTCTAATTTTCAATTTGTAGGTGAAAACCTACTTAAATAATATATAAAGTGAAAGAAAGCAACTACAATATTTGGCTGGTTTTTTTTTTTTTTTTTTTATTCATTTATTTTTTTTTTAAATATATGTTTTATATCAATACAGACAATGATTGTCTTTAACGCAGTGACACCGCCAGGGGAACAGAACTTCCAATAAATTTTGTCGGAGAACATTGCTTTGAGAAACTATTTTTACAAGCTGTGAGTACCATTTTGGACTCTAAATGTGACTATTTTGTATAGTTTACTTCAACCATAGTGAGACAGACCTGGATGTGGATCTCTTGGCCCTTGTCCGTGATCTTGGACCTTATGTCGGGTACCTTGGACCCCCTTTCGGAGGTCCTGGACCCGCCTTTCTATAGCACCGTCATACTGCCTTGAATACAGTTGTTACTCACATCATGAGGAAGAGAATACACATCAGAACACAGAGCTTTATTCGCTGGTCATTTCAAATTATATTTTATTTAATCTTGTTCATGATTGCAACTTTTTCTTATAATAAAAATTATATAATACCTATAGATTTATTTCGCTGTATATTCTGGAAGTTGTTAATTTATTTTTAATTATTCATCATATTTTCACCTCCACGAGAATCTTACATGTTTGTTTCTTATTTGAATTATACTGTATTTGCATAACAATTAGGCCTAACCTTATTCAGGCCAGATATTCTGAAGAACAGTGGTGGAAATATAGCAGATGGTTAGCCATAATTTCCACTTTTTGTTTTACCTTTCGAAGCAAAATGTACATGTATTTTGTGGCCGTTTTGTTTTTCACTTTAGACATTATAATGGTACCTTTGAACTAAACGTAGCTCAAACTCATGAATAATGTATATATGATTCAATGTGCAAAAGCAAGCCCATGGCAATTTATACCTGATACACAGAAATATCTTTCAATTGTATAAACTATAAACGTATTAGTATACCATATGAGCATATAGTTCTTTAACAAATAATTTCATAAGAGAAATAGATATAATTGAAGAAAATTCGTCAACATATCAACATTAGTATTCTTATGTCTAAAAAACCACATTGTAGACGATATAAAAGTTCATTTACAATTGAACGCAGATAAAAAAACATTTTTTTCTAATTTCATGATAATAAAATAATAATACAAATTTGCATGAAATAATATTAAAAATTAGAGTCTCTAATTTATGTTAGATGATATAAGAATTTAGTGACCACTCAACAGAAAATTAACCGACAACCCCGTTACTCAAGCAATTAAAATGGCTTTAAATTGAAAAGCGTAAAGTCAATGAGTATAATCTACTTATTATTTCTTGATAACCTTGCGCCTATTTATCTTAGAAATCTAATTCAAAAATATGAATCTCGTAGAACTGGTCTTAGATCCTTCATGGATGATACCTTACTATGCTTTACATTTCACGCACAGTACTGCCGCTGGTGATAGGTCAATTTCTAAATTCGGACCTAAATTAAGGAACACTTTGCCGATCACAATTCGTCAATCACCAACTTTAGTTTCTTTTAAGAAAAACCTCAAATCACACCTGCAACCTTAATCTGTAGTCTGAGAACATCCACAGAGAATCAGGAGTTTTTCCTGTGTGTTTTTGCCATGTTCATTGATGATCTGTTCGCTGTGCTGGAGGGGGGTGGGGATTTGTCCTTTCTTGTCATTGATATTTAGAATTTTTATTGGATTTTTGTCGTTGCTGACCTGTTCAATTTGCCTGGGGGTTTTTTGTTGTTTCATTGTGATTTTGGTGTTTTGAATTAACTTGTGATGTTGAAGTCTTTTTGTCAAAGCGCTATGTAAATAGCGCTTAATAAATTAAATAATAATATACTAAAAAAAATATATTAAACCCTGTGAGCTGTTCACGCCTACGGATGCCTCTTAATAGTTATTGATTGGACTTTGTAAAAGTTCCGTTTATCTGTGTCTTTATTTTTAAGCTAAACATAATAGTTTTATCATTAAATAAGCAAAAATCTAATTTGCTCCGTTACAAGATTTGCTATCATTTATCATCTTTCATTAAGTTACAGAAAAGTTAGTTTCCGATAATTTATAGAAATTTAAGTAGGCCTACATAACTTGTAAAATTTGCTACCAGAAATTTAAAATATGCAAGTTAGATTATTACCAATAGTTGATTAAACGTCCGAATTGAGAGGAAATCTTATTTTCAGTTGAACTCTTAAATTATTAATTTAATATATTGTTTTTAAATAAACATTAGAACGATAAAGTGTTTTATTTGAGATTAAGAGACATAAATATTATTCTTTATATATACCCAGTACTCTTCGATTGTCAATAAATCAGCGAAAACTATACTATATGCTCATACTATACTCATTGCTCCTAAGCGACGAGTTTAGGCTCATATACCATGATTGATTAAAGGGAACTTATTTTAAAGGTAATTATGAAGAGCGAATTCCATTCATTATTGTCAGGTTTAATGATCAATACCCATATTTAGATCAGTTGTAGCGTCCAGTGTATGTGGACAAAACAATAAATGCGGTTTATTTAAAACAGTGTAACGTTCCTATACTTAATAAGTTTCACCGTGAAATTAGCTGGCTCATGTTTCTTTTATAATTACTAATCTTTACAGTACTTTTCCTTCAACGTAACTACCCCGTTATTTTTTAATTGCTTTCTTTTATGTAACAGCCCAGTTCGTTTAGACACTCCGGTTATAGTTTGCGGCACCCCTACCGCTCGAGGAACCACTCGACTCACAGCCGCTCGGTCATTCAAAGCCTACCTGCTTTGTTGGTAATGGTTGGTGACTTGTAAAGCTGCATAGTCCCTATGCGCTGTAGGCCTATATGTTACAAAAAAGGACAACCAACAAACTAATCCAATCCTAAAGTCTAACAAGCAACACCAGAAAACAGACTATTGCAAAGGAGCCCACACCACCTCACCGTTTTCCTTAAATGTGAGACCACTGGCAAGCAGTGGTTTGAAAGATCATAACTCATACTCAAATGATGTTGACATCTAGACAAGCCATATATCCTAGTAATAACTAAACGAAAGAAGAAAACAAAATCAAACAACAGAAATGAAAAAGTAAAAGGTTTAAAAAAATGTAAGTCTTAAGTCTCTTTTTAAATATGGAGATAGAAGGAGACTTCCGGATACCAACTTAAACTGCATTGTGCATTCCATAGCTTTGGGGAAGCAGCTTGAAAATACCTCTCTCCATTTTTCGAACGGATTAAAGAGATAGAGTGGGGTGGAACGAAGACTACGAGAACAAGTTGATGACCGGAACTGGATAAGATCAATCAAGTACTTGGTGATAAGTTGTGGAGACATTTAAATGTATGAACAAGAATCTTGAATGTTATGCGCTGTCTCACTGGAAGCCAGTGAAGTGTTCTCATTGTAGTGGTGATTTGTTGAGTTTTCGGTATTTGTTTCACGGGACGTGCGGCAGTGTTTAATTGAAGTTGTTGGATCAACTTTTTGACTCGCGTACGCGCTCGGCCATTTAACACACCCTGCCCCTTACTTTCGATCACTTGACTCACCCCCTTGACTATTGACGAGTGCCTGCCTTACCACTCTACCACTTGATTTGCCATTTACCACTCGAGAACTGGAATCACCCGCTCTCACCGAGCCCCTATCCTTCCGCTCGACCACTCAAGTCACTGTCTCTGTTTTACCTCTCGACCAATCGACTAGCCTTTTACCGCAGCTCTACCACTAATTATTATTATTTGCTTGTCGTATAACGTATAAATAAACAGTTCTATTAAACTGAGATACTGTATCATAATAATAATAATAATTTTATTTAGCAAAAATGATACTACTCAGCATGAAGTTAACATGAAGCAACAATTTATTTTTTAAGTACAATCTCCTTATAATTTCTACCATCAGTTTGTTTATGCACACCTTTTCTTAAAACCAACATTCGGCCTACTTTTCTGTTCTATTCTACACAAATTGCTAAAGGTATATAAAGTATTAAGCCTCTAATTTTGTTACCGCTATGAAAATAGATTGGTTTTATGTTATATAGTACTTTTTACTTTTTCTGTGATTAAAACAAATATTTCAATATTGCTAAATTCCCCATACATCTTCAAACAATGTCAAAAAGTTTATTTAAACCTAATTAATATAATCGATGGATCAAATAACATAAGTAGCATACCGTAATAAATATCTATATTTGGATTTAAATAACTTAATTATCATAAAATAATATAATTTCAATAATATATATATATATATATATTTATAAATAAAATTATAATACAATAAAGCTATAATAATTGTGTAAGCTTTCTTAATTTAACAACTTTAGGCCTGTGATTGAATATCATTTTCTTGAAAGCATTCAACGTTTTGAAATTTGGCTATACAACTTGTATAAATACGTCACATTATGTACAATTGAACGTCACTCTTATAGGAAGAATACAGCAATTAGGCTATTTGGTATATCCATTGAATTTATAACGGATATAATAAATTTAAAATACCATAACACTGGTAAATTCGTAAGCTTTCGTAACTCTAAAACTTTAGCCCTATGATAGGCCTATGTATATAATCTGCTTGCAAGCATGCTTGCAAATATTATGTACAATTTAAGATCACTTATATAGAGAAAATAACCCATTTGGCATATGCATTACATTTAAAAAAAATAAAATAATTAAATTCCTAAGCTAGTCTTAACTCTAAAATGTATGCCTAAGTGTGAATATAGGCCTACATTTATTATTGCTTATAATTTGTAGGTCTATTAATAATTATGTACAATTTTAGATCACTCCTAAAAGAAGAATAAATAATATATTTGGCATAATATATGCATCAAAAATTAAATTATAAAAGACATTGTATATGTTACAATATAATATAAAATTTTTACAATTTTTCCTTATGTAGTTTAAAAAGAAAACGGGCACGTGACCACTTGGTCATGTGTTACCTATAAATTCATTCTCTACATAGTAGATACTTGAAAATGTTCAAACTGCTTACAACAGCGAGTATGTCCCGATAGGGATTATTTGCGTCATGTGTAAAATGCACATAAACACATCACACGTACCACTAGACACGTGTGCCACACAGATATCCCCTAAGCTTCGTCTCTTTTAAAGCCATAATATATACTGTAGTACAATACGGATTTATCCGCAATTAAAATATCGTAAAAACATAAATAGAATATTCTCATAAATTAAATAGTTATAATAATGATAAATATAAATTAAGCTTAATGGCGTTCTAAAATGAATGCAATTTTAAGTTTTATTGTAAAATATAATTATTTAATAATATAATACTTATATTTTATTATTCTGAAAATAGATTAATTTAACACACATGATATACCACGTATCGTCAGTTATTGGAAAAATCAAATTACCGTATAAAAATTGCATTTATATAATATGTAGGCCTACATCTGAATAAATGACAATAATACCCTGCATAAATAAATAATATACTCTGTATAATCAAGGTTTCAGCTAACACACACGTATAATCTCTCATTAATGAATTACTTCCATGTTTGACAGACGTGACGATCGTTTAATTTGGTGGTAGGCCCCCTGAACCCGGATTATTCGACGGTCTCACGGTTCTTTGGCAAATACAGGCAACAGGAAAGATTTCATCGTACTGTTCAAATTGGAACACACTTCCCTCACAGCCAACCTTCCTCATGGCTTTCATTGTGTACATGACTTCTTTACATCCCAACGTCGACGTCTGCGTGTTGTCGAAGGGGTCGATGCAGGTGGTACAGGTCGGTCGGCACCTTGCTTTCATAATTTTGGCTGGGATTCGATCAGCTTGGTAGTCTTCATAAAATTCAAACGGACAAAGACCAGACTCAGATAAACTATAGTCGGCTGTAAGGAAAATAAAGACATGTTAAAGAGGCTTATCGTTGGAAAATTCTGATCAAAAGAATGTTCAATCGGATATTACAACTATTTCCCGTCTACGATGGGAAAAATAATGATATACCTTATTAGTCTCTTTATCATTTCTTACTTAGGTGGCTCCAATTTTCGTTGAAATTGACAAGTAAAACCAGATATGATGAGCTAGAATCATTCCTATTCCTTACGTTGCCCGGAAAAAATATGAAGCTTACTACAATATATAAACTTACTTGGCACTTTGTTGTACGGACATTCTTTGTGTGGGATCTCGCTCTCCGTATTGTAGTTAGTTTGTGAAAGTAGACTCGTATCAAACGCATGGACGGGGACAGTATTTGTCGCAGGATAATACAGTTGTGGATAAGTTAACGACGATGTGTTGGAGCACCTGCTGAAAGGCCCGTCTTGTTGGCTAGAAGACGTCGATGAACGCCTCATCCTCGACAGTGGACTTCCACATGCTGCTGACAGAAATACAAATACGGCGCATAAAACACCCTTGCTGAAGATGGAATACATTTTGCCTTTATTTATAATTAAATTTATGAAATGAGAAATTTCTATTGTAAATAATAGAAAAATATATTGTCCTATGGCTGAGTCTCCTCGTTTATTTTTTAAACTTGCGAATCCACTTGATTACTGTAGGTACTGAGAGTGTGGCTTTTATACCAGGCGACGGTGTTTTCCGTGTTTATTTTTAGACATAAGCGGAACTAAGACATGTGGTCAAAAAGATTGCTTCTAGTGTTTGCGAACGGATAGAAGGATGCCTACTGTAGTAGAGGACTACCGTACTATTAAACTATTCTTTGGCCTCGAACAAGGATGTAAACAAGCGCCCTCATAGCTCATCAGTTTATTTTAAGCCAATGAAAATGTTTATTAATTTTCCATATTTGCATCGCTGAACGGGACTTCTTTTTCCAGCAATAGGGGAATTTATGACTAACGTTTTGCTGTATTCCACCACTTTTGTTTGATATCACATGGATAATGTTAATAGTTATACGAATACAGTTTAAATAAGAAACAAACGAGATTTCACGTGTTCAATTAATTATGGAATAAAAATATGTATGATTAATAATTAAAAATAAATCAACAAATACAGGAAGTATATTTATATAGGCCTATGAAATTAATAATCATTATACGAACACAACTTAAGTAAGAAAAAAAAAGTTGCAATCATGGAAATGATGAAGTAAAATATGATTTGAAATGACATAATAGAGAGACTAGCGAATAAAGCTCCGTCCGTTGTTTGATGGGGTAACAACCGTAATTTAAGGGCAGTGTGCCGGTGCCAATGATGGGCAGATCCAGGATCTCCGACAGGGGCCCAAGGTACCCGACAAGAGGTCCGGTCCTTTCCGGTCTAAGATCCCGTACAATGAGGTCCCCACCCATTCTCACCATGGTTGAAGCAAAATGTTAAGAATAGGAACCTTTAGAGGCAGGGGGTAGCGCCAGGATTTGTCCGACGTCCCCGACGAAGGGTGGTGGTGTGTCTAGGTATGTCTCTCGATAGTGTTCCAGGGGTGAAAGTATGACAATTTAGGGGTTTCAAATGCTTATTTAATAGAATTTAGGGTCTACTAATATGTAGAAAATACATATACATTTTTTTCTCCCCGACAAATCGTGGTTTTTCTACCCGACGGGGGACCTAGCGTCCCTGCCTCCCAACTGGCGCCACCCCTGGTAGAGACCCCTAAATATCACAGCAGTGTTCGACGACATGATTGGAAGTCATGTGCCCCTGTACCCCTGCTGGCGTCGCCTCCGTCTTAAGAGACATATCATAGTTCGGTTAGGGTGGGGCATGCGGGACCTTAGGAAGTAACGTCCCTACCCCTGAATGCATAGTTTTGTAACTCTTTTTTTTTAATGCAATTTGTTTGGGTTGGGGGGGGGGGGGGGGGGGGGGTTGTGGTTGCATGATATGGATAGGCCTATAGGATTTCGAAATAAAAGCTGAATTAAATTGTATGAGGTAAAACAAAAATGAAATATACAGTCAAATATTTTAATAGCATACTTTCACATTACATATTATTTAAGTAAGTTTTACATATAAATTGAATATCGGAACGAAAAACTAGTTTTCTCGTCAGTTAACAGAATCTAAAACATAAATGCGGCCCTGCATTTTTTGAATAGATAATTATGATTTTCGTTGTAAAATTTATACAATTTTTTTTTTATTTCACTGCAAACGTTATATGGTACCTTTAAACCAAACATACTGTTCAAACTCATGAACAAATGTATATAATATAATTCAATCTAAAAAAAGCAAGCCCATGGCGGTTTATAACTGATACACGCAATATCTCTGTATCTACTATAGGCTAATGTTAGTATATATTGTTTGAGCATAATAGTATATTAAACCATGCATTTCCAAAGCAATAAAAAGAATGTACTGTTAGAAAGCACAAGCTCTATAATTAGAAATGTTAAAATCTAACTTTGAACCTTCTATATTTGCACAGTACAAGAAATATAGAAACATGTTAACGAAAACTATAAGATTGGCTAAAAAGAATTGCTATTCTGGCTTGTTTTTTGAGAAAAAAAATCTATCAAAAACATAGTCTAAACTACATAATATGATTTACCAGACAAAACTTCGGTAAAAGAAATGAAAATCTGACAGAAGAAATTAATAATTAAACCGAGATTATGAATGAATTTAATTATTATTTTACAAATATTGGCTTAAATATATTCAACAATATACAACATTCATCTACACATTTTTCAGTTTATTTAACCAGAAACTTAATTTCTTTTTTTAATAAGATGATTTCTAATTTGGATAAACTAATCACCGGGCCCTGATGACTTACCAGTTAGATTATTATGTATGACGGCGCCCTATATCTCAATACCACTTTCTTATGTTTTTAATGATTTGGCGTCGAAATCCTGAATGGTGAAGCCTCTGAAAGTTATCAACGTGGTCGAACCTTGAGTCTAGGTGACGGCTTAACTAATCTACAATATGGGATTACAACCCAGACAAAGTGGGGCCCAGCCGCAGGAAGAATCTTAGATGACCCACCCTTTGATAATTCCATATTCGTTTGGATATATCATTTTATTATTTTAACATCAATTTTATTTTTAAAATAATCTTTAATTCATAAACAGTATTATGCATATTGCATTAAAAAAATATATATACGATAACAAAATTTGGAAAGTCTCGTTTTCAAACGTTTTAAAAATTACACGTGTTTGCCTTTATATAAAAAGGTTCAAAATATGATACGAGAAACTATCGTCCTGTTTGTATGTTATCACCAATATAATTTAAGGTTCTTTAAAAATTATGTAATGACCATTTAATTGATTAAAAAAAAATTTAAGATATTCTATAAACATCAAATTATCTTTAATCAACTTAGTTAACAACTCATATTTCAATGCGATAATTCAAAAGCTGCTCTTGGTGTTTTTGTTGATTTTAGTAAAGTGGGATACTATCAACAATGACATTATAATATCAAAATTACAACATTACAGGGTGAGGGATGCACCTTTACCTTGGCTATCTGATTATGGTAACTGGTCAAAGTTTGTTTGTTCTAATGGTTGCCTATCGACTATGGTGTTACTCATGGGGATCTGTGCTTGGAGTAGGCCTAATTTTGTTTATAATTTATATAAATGTTTTTCCAAATTCAGCAGAAGTGATTTCAGATTGTTTTGCGGACAATAGCAATTTATTTAAATCTTTTTCCATGAATATGTTAGATCTCAATGAGGTCAATTTTCATTTCCAAAAACTAATTGAATAGGGGAATGGTGAAATGGAATGGTGAAATAGGTTAACAATAAATGCCGATAAAACCAATTATATAATTGATATAATTTCAATAAAAAAAACAAAGTTATCACTACATCGGTGGTCACTACAAGAACTCCGTAAAAGAAATGAAAATCTGACAGAGGAAATTAATAATGAAACCGAGATTATGAATGAATTTAATTATTATTTTACAAATATTGACCTAAATCTAGCCAAAAAATATACAACATTCATCTACACATTTTTCAGTTTATTTAACCAGAAACTTAATTTCTTTTTTTAATAAGATGATTTCTAATTTGGATAAACTAAAACAACGGGCCCTGATGATTTACAAGTTAGATTATTATGTATGGCGGCGCC